CTGGTAAACAATTTCAAACTGCCACACCTATGGAATGAGAGGAGGCTCAGAAGACAGTGAGAGGCAGTTTCTTCAGGTGAGAATACCCACTGAGTCACGGACAGAGAGGAACCATATCCAAGTCAATGTGCCTTTCACCACTGAAAATAAGATGTTTACTCAAAAAAATGGGGGAAACTTCCACAGCAGCACCTGAAAAACACAATCTGTTCCCTTGTTGATTCTAGGTAGCGTTACATGAAATACAGGAGCACCTCTGCTGCCACAAAGGATGCCGTGCCATGATTTTCCCCAGGTAACTTTATGGCATCTATCCCTCCAGGCATAATAATTCAGTAGCTGACATGATCTCTCCATAGAGGAGCTCACCTACCTATGAGTCATGCAGTGAGAGCTCTGAAGAAACAAGTAGCCCTCTAAACACATCCTCATATACTACTACCAAGAAAGAAGACCCCCCCTCTCATTCTAGTTATTTGAGAGCAAGGAAGAAAGAAGAAAAGGTTCTTTGTTTTAGAATAGATTTTAAAATATTTTTCTTAAGTAAATTAGGAAAAAAAAGTGACATGATTACAAGTTTTAAGTAAGCATAATTTTAAAATTAATACAGTCTGCAAAAAAGTGCAAACTAAAAGGAGAAATTTTTTTCTTTTCTTTTCTTTTTTTCCCCTTGATACCTGTTTCCAAAAAATGTGATGTGGGTCTAAAATTTAAGAAAACTTTTTCCCTCTTGTTATTTTTATGAAAAGGAAAAAAAAACATTTTCCAGTTTCACTAGCTTATTTACTTGGGGCAGAACATATTAAAATTTAAAAAAAAAATCCAATGTAAAATTTGTTGCAGAGACTGGAACTTCTAAATGTAAAATTAGCACAAACAAACCTAGTTCTAAAGATGTTGAGTAGGTGTTTTGTAACAGTAACTATATCCAGGAAACTGTGCAACATTTTCCACCAATAAAACTCAAAAAATAGAAAAAAAATGAAGAAAAAAGTGAATACGTAATTCTATTTAAAGCTATACTATTTACAACTACCTCAAAAAGAAAGCTTAAGTGTTTGCAGGATTTACTTGCCTACAGGAACAACAATTTTGGAGTATATGCCTGGGTAGCTCTGTAACTGTAGCACCCTCTGCTGCTCTTTTAGTTCTAAAACATATAACTGTACACTCAACCAAGTAGAAAATAAAATGAATATGTGTTGCACATGTTGTTTCTTGAAAATGGTTATATTATTAACTAATTCTATGTGCAGTTTACAAGAAAATGTTTTGTTATTACATATAGCATATTTGCAATTTTATACTACTTGAGCATTCTGGACTATCTTGTTTCTGTGTCAACATCAGGTAGATACTAAATGAAAATCCCAAAACACGCTGTATTTCATTTCTTGAAATTCTCCTTTACATACTCTGTAGCTTGCATAGGCTGGTGGCAATGAGTAAAGAGGTTTATATTTTGGACCTTGATCATTTCACTTAATTTAAATGTATACATAATTTAAAATTATTACTTCAGGGACATAGTCATACAAGCACTTCAGTCATAACTGCTTTCTCCCACTTGGAAAGGCAACGGAAGGTGATAATCTCAAAAGCTCATCCTTGTAGACTTTTCCTTAATTTTTGGACAGTTTCTTCTGCAAGAATGAATGTGGCATGTGGCTTCAGGGGCCAACTCATGCTGTCCCACAATGCCACCACTGAACCTTTGGCCTGGGATGCATCATTTCTTTTAAAGGACTACCTCAGGACTAGAGATGGTGTCAGGATGTACCATCTTTTTAACAGATGGCATATTGTTGTCTAAAATGAACAGACTGATCCTTTCCTTCATTCCAGTCCTCTTTTCCCTGCCTCCTGTTTTTGCATAGAATTAAAGCTGAATGAAGTGCATTTAGCATTGCATCCTGTCTGTGTGGAGAATTCATTTAGAGTTTTCATGTGGAAACCACTCTCTCACAAACAAGAGAGGAACAGGAGAAGAACGAAATTTCACATTTTTCTGGGAGAGTGAAAGCTAATTGCAATTTATAGTGTGAGTTTTCATTTACAGTAGCAATCCTACAGTGAAAATGCAAAATCTTTTTGAAAAGGACAGAATACAAGTGTACATACCAAGTTTGAACGAGATATTGTACAGAGGCAATTTTCAGAGTTAACACTTGGGACCTTGCAATACACCATTTAGAGCTACTGCAGCTGTCTCCACTTTTGTCCTGAAGTCTTACTGGTATAAGGCAGTGCCTTTGGAAGCAGTCATGAGTATTCCTCAAAAGCTGCTTATTGATATTTTATATAATGCTGCCAGCTAGTGGCACATCTTGTACTGAGTTGATACCTACTGGTAGTATAGCAAAACTGGTATTAACTAGAGTCTGCTCTACCACTTTTCTTTTGATGGTGTATGGTGATGTGACTGTTAAAAACAATAAGAAGAGAGATCAAAATGTGAAACAGAAAGAGCATAGAAATGCTCCGTGAAAGAGCTTGTTTTAACAGAAAATACTTACTAGAAGAAACAAAACAACTTCCCCTAAAATCACACAAATCTTGTTGTTTGAAGCAAATTATGTTTTAAAAGGATTTAATATGCAATATGTTTCAGTATTTACAACATCTAATCTGTTTAATACACAATTATTTCATGATCTAACATTCACTAGCAAAACATTAATCTTGCTGATAAATTTGCTGTATCACAGCCAAAACAAACACACAGAAAACTAAAGTATTTACCTCTTTTCTGACAACTCAGTCCAAATAGTTTAAGTGAAGTTTAGTGCACAATAAATAAATTCTGGCTGTGTAGGGTCCCAAAAGAACACTGAAGTCTGTAATTTTTCAAGGTGTCCCCTCACAGAGCATGCTGCGGTGACAGTATGTTCAATACTGGCTAACTCTGTTAGTATTAGGTATTAGAAGAAACAATCTGATACTGCTAAAGACCATTTTAGAAATATTTGGGGGTTTTTTAGAGTAGGTTATGATTTGATAATACAAAGTTCTTACAGAACACTACGGTAGTTGTAAAAAATAGTCAACCTAATTTTAGAAATAAAACAGTAGTTACCTTAGCAGGTCAAAGGAGGTGACCCCTCCATCATTTCCACGGTGGGTTAACACAAAGAGAGTCAGAAAATACCCAGGAAAAGGTCGAAGAAAGAGACAATTCAAATCAAGTGACAATGAGAGTGCACAGAAATTCAGTCAGGTATGAGCCAAATAGAGCAGCTCAGTAAACACATGGTTGGGGGAACTTTACTATGATGGTGTGACAGACACATAGTTACTCTGGCTTGGACACAGAATATTTATTCCATACAGGTGGTAGCAAAAAAGTATGATTATTACACTCCAAGCTAATACTGCATGCTGCCAGAAGATAAAAATTATACCATTACCCTTACAGAGTGTAATCTAGGGTGCATAGTAAAATAGGCATAAATCACCAATATGTAGATCAATACAGATAGACACAAAGACATTTAAAAATGGGGAGCATGAATCTGGAAATGACTTAGCAAACATTGTATATAATGGCACAGCATGAACCCTCAAAGAAATACTGAATACAGAAGGACAAATGTGAATCTTTGTATATACAGATAAACAGTAAGAAGAACTACAAATGTCACATTACTCCTGCGTTAGCACCGGCTGTGTGCCTATTAGAGTGTAAGTCTTGTTCTACCACCTGCAATCAATATGAAAGTAGCTGAAATACTGGAAAAAGTTAACGGAAGAGCTGACAACACACCTATCAATAGGAAAGCATATGAAAACTTTAGTGGAGTAAATTATTTGTGTTAACAGGGAAATTTGTGTAGATTGAGCACAATTTAAGCGCTCACACAAAAAAACAAAGATTGAGAGATCATGTTAACATGTTTCACAGAGTAAGGTACACTGTCCTGATCCACTGTGTGAAGCACTTCTAAACACACACACAAAATATTTTCTCTGCCGTTCAAAATAAATACTCAAGTTGTTATCTAATGAACTAATATAACAATATTTTTTCTGGATCCAAAGCCCTATTTAAGTTTTTTTCCTAATTATTTCACTTTACCAACTTTATTGGTATATTTGAAAACAAAAAAACCAATCAGAAAGATAAGGCAGAATAATCAAATAAGAATGATATGTATATAATTATATAACAGTAATTACTCATCACATCAAAAGTATTTCAATATTATTGCTTGGCTTAGTTTCCACAGTCTAACACAATTCTATAATTCAAGTCCATTAGTAGCATAGATAATTTTATTAATAAGTATACTGAAGCAGAGCCATACTGGGTCAGACATTGATGGCCCACTTACAGCTCATCTTGTCTCAGGTTAATGCAGCCAGTAACTGATGCTTAGACAACAGTGAAAGATCAGGACAAACATATCATCCTACTGCCCCATTAATTCTCCTAAGACCCAGCACTTCCTAAGCCATAAGTGATGTCTTTATATTTAACAGCCACAGTGAATTTTTCTTGCACAATTTTTTTCCCCTTTTGCTTTTCTGAATTCATGTTTTAGGAACCAAGACATTCTGTGGGGAGCAATTTCACAACTTGACTGTGTGTTTTCTTTTGTGTTTCTGTGATTTCAGTTTATCCACTCCAAGCTGGAAGTGCTGTTGTTTGCTTCCCATGTTCTCACGCTGTTGTTCCCCACACAGCTACTGCTGGCCAAAGGCCAACACAAATCAATGGGCTAAACTAATTTTTTGTCCAACCCAGTTCAGCTGCTCTAATGTCCCCACCACAGTCACAGAACCAAAAATAACCTGCACTGGGATGACTTGAGGGTGTACCCACACAAACAACTGTGCTACGTAAACCTGTAACATGTAAAATGTTATGGTACCTCTGACCACAGTAATGGAGTTTCTCAGCTAAACAAAATGGTTATTGAAGGCTCATACAGAAATATTTTACATTGATGCGTTTAGACTTCTATCAACATAATACTGTCTTTAAATAAACAGTGACTTACAGACATTCCCCGTGTTGTCAAAACTTGTAAGAACATCTTTAACATTTAAGAGACCATTGTGAAATCTGGAAGAAAACATAAAAGAAAACATAAATTGTGATTTTACCAACATGTAAACAATTAAAAAAAACCCCATCTTGTCTCTTCATTCCCTTCTCACCAACTCGTTCACAGTGAACTAGCAAACAGGTACTACTGTAACCACCAGGGGGAAAACAAGGGGACAAACATTAGTTTTCAAAGTCCTATCACTGAAAATCCATGCATCAGGAATGTGTTGCTCCAAAACTAATACCAAGAGGAAAACATTTCCAAGGAGCATCAAATTTTATTTAGTTCTAGAAGTCACATATAGAAAATAAAGAATTTTGGTAAAGCTTTATCAGCAGCTTTATTTCCTTGAAGAGGAAAACCAAAAGACTATTTCTAAGCAGCAGCTGTACACACATTCCTATTTTCTCCCACAAAAGCAAGAACACTTAATTAAATTAATGTGAACAATTAAATTGATTAATGTGTTCAGTGAACTGCATTTTCTTTGGTTTTACATTTGCATAACCCAAGTGAAATAAACATTCAAAACTGGGGATAATAAATTCATTAACTAAATTTCACACATCAACTGCAAATTTTAGAATACAGCGAGAAAAGCACTGACAGCAGCAGAAAGAATATACACAAAATTTAAATAAAAATTTACATGTTATACATATCAGGCCAGCTGAATTCGCACACACACACACAAAGCATCTAAATTTCTTTCACCTGTTCGAAGATAATCTAGGCCCAAAATGAAAAAAATATTAAAATCTTATGCTTCACAACATCAGATCACACAGTTGTTTCACAAATGCATTAAAAAAATCTAAAAAGAATTCAGCAAGGCAGTAAAATAGATAGTAAAAACACTGTTTTTAACAGTGTTTCAAATATAGCTTCTAAGGCTGTTTAGGAGCATCCTAATTGGACACACCAAAAAAATTAATAAATCAAACAATTCTAGCACCTACAAAATTAGTTCTCATTCTCTCTGCTTTTTTTTCCTAAAGGAAAAATGTTGTAAGAATGAAAAAAAAAAAAATCGACCTTTACGCAAATAAGAAATTGCATATTTATTATTTAAAAATCCACTATTTATAGCTTCTGATAAGCATAAGCATTAAATAAACATGAACATAAATTTTGAGAAGCGAAGCACCAAACAGCAACTAGACTAATTCTTAAAAAAATGAAAATCAAATGGAAATCAAGTTAACATAAACAGGGGCAACAAAATACATGTAAGATGTTACAAAAGATTCAACTGGATATTAATGCTATTCTCCCAGCTACATAAAAACAAATCAAAAATACATTCCTTATGTACAGTGGAAGCTTACAAGAATTCTGATGGGTCATTTGGATTTTAAATGCACTTTTTCTTCCTCTTTTTTGCAAGTTTGTTTTCAATCAAATTGGGCAACTGATACACCATGGCTAGTTCAAGGGAAGTGACAAGAAAGCAGAGAGGATCTGTTCTACCAACCACAGAGCTGCCCTTTAAATTCTCCCCTGTTGAATCCTAAGCATCCTACAAACTCTGTAACTGTGCATATGTCTGAGGCAGTTAGGGTCTCTCAGACAGCTGTGAATGTCTCATCTCTAAATGAATGTAAGATGGGGGAGGGACATGTTGACAAAGTAAAGAAATATTTTAATCTTTGTTGGCATGCAGACTAGTCTTGAGATAGCATGCTTTGGTTTTGGCTTTTTCCCCCTCAATTTCTTTATGTACAGAGTTCATATATAAAAGAGATTTATCATGTAGCTCTCCAAGTGAAGCAAATAAAGGTAAGGACGAAAAATTTAGTAATCTAGTATCAGTAGTTTAACAGAATGCTATGAATAATTAAAACAGAAGTAAGTGAAGTGTCCTGGTCTAGAAAAGAATACAATTTGTATGCTTCAGGGTCAAAAGGCAGATAAACACAAAAAGCCATAGCTTGTGGGGTCCAAGTACAAACACAACACACTCCAACCTTTGCTCCGTTGGTCTCTAGGGGCACTTTGCGCTGACACCCTTCTCTGGCTCCCTGCAATATTCAAAGTCTCTTTCTCTAACTCTGTCTCAGCAACCTCCTTCTTGCTTTCACAAATATAATTCATGGCAATTACAGAAGTGAGACATAATCTAATGACGAGAAGCATCCAGATTTGCTATGGGGGACATCCTCTTCTCCTCAGTCTTCCAAAAGCCCACTCCACAGTCATTATGAAATGGGACAGGGTTTGAATTCAACAGCTATGTCCTTTAGTCTGGTCAGCTTATGAAACCTGCACTGAACAAAAGAAGGGAGCAAGCCCGATCTAGAATGAGAGGAGTAGCCACTATCTCAACAGTGATTGGATAGCAAATCTGCCCTCATTTACTCCAAAGCTCACATCTCAGGTCTGAACCATATTATCTCTACGGACTATGTTAAAACTACTCCACATTAGTAACAGCTAATCTTCTGGAGTCAATTAGCATGATAGGAAAATATCTCTTTGTATTGGGACTGGTTGAGATGGAGTTCACTTCCCCATAGTAGCCCTCACAGTGCTGTGCTTTGCATTGGTAGCTGGAAAGGTGTTGATAACACACCAGCGTTTTGGCTACTGCTGAGCACAGCATCAGCACTGTAACATTCCTTTCCCAGTTGAGGGCAAGATTCTCAGAGGGGACAAAACCAGGCCAGCTGACCCAAACTAACCAAAGGGATATTCTGTACCATATGACATCAGCTCAGATATAAAAGATAGGGAAAGGAGCAGGAAGAGGGGGCACTTGTTATTTACGTCTGCCTGCTGAGCAACTGCTACGCATGTTGAAGCCCTGCTTCCCGGAAGTACCCGGACATCGCTTACTAATGGGAAGTAGAGAATAAACCTTGTTATTCTCCTCTTCACTTTGTGCAAACTTTCTCTTTTGCTTTAGTAAACTGCCCTATCTCAACCTACGAATCATTTTCTATCTTATTGTCTCTCCCCCGTCTGTCTGGGAAGGGGAATGATAGAGTGGCTTAGTGGGCACCTGGTGTCCAGCCAAGGTCAACCCACCGCACTCTTCCTGCTGATAAAGCTTTAGCCTATTCCAGGCTAAAGAAGAGGCATATAAATCCATCGGTAACCACTTAACAGTTATGGAACCCAAACAGTGAGGAATTGATCATAAGCTCTCTTGCAAACAAGTTTTAGGACTGCGGGAAGAAACATGCCAGCAGCTGATCTACTTGTGAAAGGAAGAGCTCACGGAAACACACTTCCAAACAGCAATAGCCATGTTTCTCCATTCAGAGGGCTGTATTTGTAAAGCCTCCAAACTCTGCACCAGCTATTCCCCAACTCTCTTCCACCGCAGACCTTACTCGCAGACTAAAAGTTACTTGCACCTGCAGATACAGGTATTCTCTAACTCCAAATTCTGCCATAAGTACCATGCTACTCAGTCCTGCACCCATAAACCACAGCTTCTAGTTTGGAATCCACTGCTCTGAATACCTTCTCAGCAGCTCTGTAACAGCTGCTGCTTCACTGTCCCATCCCATCAGCTGCTCCTCCATTACCAAGCCCAGAGAAAACTGCTGGGATATGACACATCTCATTTCTGTGGCTGCCTGTCATAATCACAGCTTTCCACAGTACTGCTAACAAACTGCCCGCAGAGAGTCTGTAAGTGTCATGTGCACTGAATTATGGAAGTCAAGGAAAGGAACCACACAAGCTTGTAGTTAAACCTCAACCCCAAATTCCCATAAATTTCCATAGGCATTTCAAAATACAAAAGAACATTAGTATTCAGTGCTTTGAAATATGTGATGGATGTTGTACAGTTCAAAGAAGTTTAAAGCTGTGATTGCTGAGATCAACAAAGTACTTCAAACAAGCACAGGTAAGCATCATGGAGAAAGTGAACTTCAGGACAGCATGGTTAATCTGATTCACAGTGTTCTTATAAATCTTCAAGGTACAATAGGCAAAAATTTCTATGGCTGAGGTAGTGAGTTATAGAAGACAAATCTAGGAAAGAGAAACTAAATCAACTCATGTTTCTCCCCCTTCGAAACAAAGCAAAATTCCTTACTCTGGACTACACATAAATCCACTTTGGATGTATAAATAAAGTCAGAGAAAGATAGAGTGTGTTCAGTCTTTGAAATATATTAATGTTCCTTCCTCTCCAATTCAGGCAACACAAGTGGCAGACTTTTACATGTATTTAAAAATAGCCATAGACAGTAGAATAAAAAGAGCCTTCAATAGCTCCCTATTAAGGTATGCTTTTCATCAACCATAATGAAACAAAACTAGGTTTCTTCTCTTCTTTTATACTATTCTTAACTGAGTAAGGACAAATAATACAAGTAAATATGTGCCTGTACAAAACTTTAAAAATCTACAAAGACTAAGACAGAATACATTTCCACATAATATGGGAAAAAAAAACAGAACAAAACCACAGCATACCACCATACACTATTAACCTAGATACAAACTAAAAGTACGATATTGGTGAAAAAATGAAAGACAGAATAATGGTAAAAACGTTACTATTAAGGGTCCTTTACAAAAAGCCTTGGTGAGTATCACCATTAAATGTCGCAGTGGCCCACTAAGAACTTTAAATTTATCTACAAAGTTTGCTATCTGAACAGATGCTTTTCCTGGGCCAGAGCACAGCAGAACAAGTCAATTCCTCTTTCAATCCACTTCTAGACTGCAGCTTAATACAGTAAGAAACCAAACCAATGCATCTTTGACTACAAATTCTTATTACAAATACTCATGTCTTGGGCAATATGATGGAACAGTCATAGCTTGATAGTGAATGAAAGAAATAATTGCCAAATCACTTTCTATCTCTTTCCTAAATTTCCAACTCTTGTGCCCAAGCCTTTGTGCTGCTAAACCCACACATTTTCTCTTAGCATGCAATAAACGGAAGAGAGCAATTTTATCACATCCACATAAATTGTCCATAAGAAGTAGGCAATATTCCTTGAAATCTGCTTCCCTTCACTTATTTTAGATCTATTTCTAAAATAGC